TTACCTTGCCCCCAGCCAAGAAGGCTCCCCACCGGCAGGCACTCAGCCAGAGAAGGAGGTGGCCAAGGGCCGGCCGCCCCGCCAGGCCATCTGCGGCTCACAGGCCATAGCAGGAGACCAGCGGGTTCTACTTCCTTTCTCAGCGCTATGTTTCATTCTGGAACAGCCAGCTCAGCTTCACTCACTTTCAGAAAACAGCGAAGAAAGAACTTCAGCCGGGGACTTGAGCAGGCTGGGCTCCCCACCCCAAGTCTTCACAAGCCCAGGGAGAGCCACCTGGATTCTCCCTTTCCCTTTGGTCTCTCCGCTCACGCTGAGGACCGTTTTCAGGGAGAGTGAGAACAAAACCCCTCCCACCCCGCGACTAAGAACTTCCCTTCCGCCCGGGGTTCTGCTCAACCTCGGCCTGGGAACTCAGGAGCTGGGGGGGGGGGGGGGGGCCTCCCAGGCATGTGGGATTTCCATTCTCTTACTAAGGGCAGCACAGGTACATTCATCACGGGGAGACTTGTTCATACGAAGGATCTCAAAGAGTTCCCCAGAGACATTGCAAAATACAAATGATAAAGAAAATCAGGATGAGGGGGGGGGGGGAATGTTTTAAAGTTATGATCATGAAGAATAAAAATACCCAGATATTCTGGCAATCAGGGTCCCTAGCAGAGGTTTAGGTTCAAGAACATGAACCCCAGGGTCAGACTATCCAGTCCAAAGGTCAGTTCTACAACCCACAGGTTAGGTAAACTTGGGTAAGTGGTTTAACCTCAAAGAGCTTCAGCTTCCTTATATTTAAACAGTGGTACCTTCCTCCCAGGGTTGCTGCAAAGAATCGATAGGATGATAGAAATAAAGGACGTTTAACAGCATATGGAACAAAGGTCACATGCCATACTCTCTCTGGTTGTAGCTGTGGTGAGGTTTGACACAGTTGCCATGCCTGAACTAAGAATTTGGTTTTGAGCTTCCAGGAGGCCAAAGAGAAAATGGAAATGCTGTCAGTTAAATAGTTCCTGCTACCAATACAGGGGGGAACAAACAAACAAAACCCTGAGAGTGAGGGAGCAATGCATCCTCTTGGCACTCGGCACTGAAAGACCTTGGAAATGTTTCCGAAGCCTCGGGAGCCAGGTCAGGTGCGTGCATCGGGCGTGACCCGTAGCCACTTCATCAACAAAAGCAGAAATGTGTCTTTCCTTGATACCAACGTGCAGTCTCTATAGTGCCATACACTCTGGGTGGAACCTGCACACCTTATCTGTGGTGTGTCCACCTGGGGCCTAAGACTCATCCCTCACCAAGGAAAATCATGCCTAAGTTCCTGGGATGACACACCAGCCCTGCCTATTAAAAAAAAAAAAAAAACCCTAAAATTGCCTTTTGCTGCCATGGTTCTCGACACTGGTGAAGCCAGAAAGTGTCCGGTCAACACACATCTGCTTGATTCCAAGCTGGCCCAAGGTGCCCGCCACTGCTCAGTTCCCCTAAAAATGAGAACCGGACTCCCACTCCCTCACCACCTTCCAACCCTCTCGGTCCTTTAAAAAGGACCAAATGCATAATTTGTGGAGCCCAGTGCAAAGGAGAAATGTGGGGCCCCTTGTTAAAAAATGATGAAGAATTTCAAGATAGTGACAGCAGAGCCTTCAGCCAAGTGGGGGCCTTACTCAGTGGGGGCCCTATGTGACTGAGCAGACTGCATGCACCTGAGCCAGCCCTGACTTTAAGCTTCGAAAGACCACATGGGACCCTTCCACGGACTAAAAATATGCAAAAATGAGCCTTTACTGCCCTGCATCAGTCTCTGAGGCAAGAAGGCAATAAACTATTGGGAAAAGAGCGAGGGCTTCCGTGCCAAAGAGCATGGACGAGAATCCCCACTCAGCCACTCCCATGCTCTGTGATGTTCACTGTCAAGGTACTTAACTAACTCCCTGAGCCGTCCTCATCTGTAAAACGGGCTCATGGAGGCCTCCCTGGCTTAACTGCTGTGGGGAGAACAGAAAGAAATGCAAGCGTAACATCCAATACCCTGCACCAATCAGGCCCCTTTCCTCAAAGGTTTTTCTCATTTCACAGGAGAGAAAATTGAGGGTCAAAGATGTGAAGAGACCTGCCCAGAGATCTGCCCCAGCTAGAAGCTGTGGAGCCAGCAGGTGAGCCCACGCCATCTGGCTCCAGAGTTCAAGCCCGTAACTCCCATGTCCCTGAGCCTCAGGACCCAGGTCTGGGTATCTCTGAGCCTGCTCCTTACACCACCTTTAAAAAAAAAAGAAAGAAAGGAGTGGGTCGAGGGGGTCTGCAAGGTGTGATCTAGCAACAAATTCCAGCCTGCACCTGAGATGCCGCACTCTGGGAGGGCAGGGACCATCACCCCTCACCTGGCCCACAGCAGGTACTCCCAAACATTGTTGAGCATTTACCACAGTCAGTCCTATCACCCCTTACTTCCTTCCTCTTACCTTGTACCCGCAAGAGACATGAAAGCAATTAACAACCCAAGGATGTCCGCCCTGCACTTGGCAATCCCTGAAGCCCTTTCCTGCCTCACCTGCTCACCTCCTAGGCCCACCAGGAAAATAGTCCTTAGATCCATTTCCCACCTGTGTGCCCTTGAGCAAGTTACTTAACTTCTCTCTGCCCCCTCTTTGCATGCAAATGGAGATAATAATAGTAACTCAGTTGCTTAAGCTTAAAGAGTCCCTCCAAGTAAATCACTCAAAGCAGGGCTAGGCAAAGGGGAATCACTGAAGGATGATAGCTGTTATTTTTACTCCAGAGACATTCCCTAATAAATAGTGCCAGGCACAGTGCGTTGTGCTTTCTCCACTATAAAACCAGAAATAACCTTGTAAGTCCCCCTTCAGCTCTCCCGACGGGGGATCACCATCTGAGGGAAAAGACAAACTCAGAGAAAGAGAAAGAAGAAAGTCTATGACCACACAAAGCAGTCAGCGGGAGTGGGCAGCAGCACCTCGAGGCCGTGGGAAGGCTGGGCAGAGGTGGAGGTGAGGGAGGTACTGCCAAGAAGGGGAGAGGTACAGATCAGGTGCAGAGGACAGGAGGGGTGCTGGCAAGACTGGCCACGGGCGGACATTGACCCTTTACCTACCAGCGTGCCCTGAGCTCAGGACCCTGCCCAGGGCTGCACCAGTCCCATGGGGAACATGGGAGGAAGAGACAAGCATGGGGTGGAGGGGGAACCGGGGGTGAGCAGAGCTCTGGGGCTCCTGCAAATAACTGGCCATCCATCCCCCGCCCAGCTTCTCCAAGTTTCCTTAGCTGCCTTTGCTGACTCTGCATGTAACCAGAACTCCCAGTTATCCGTCTTTTTTAGGGAGGTGGCAAGTCCCTGCAAAGGCAGATGACCTAAGTCCTGCTGAACAAAGGTCTCCATTTCTGCAAACAATGAGTGCCCAGCCTCCCCAGGAACCAGATGCCTCACTGAGATTTGGGGGGAGCGGGAGAAGTGGTGGGGGGGGGGGGGTCGGAGAGAAAGAAAGATCCCAGGTTTTACTAGTCAGGTTTTGTTTTTGGTTTAACTGCAAAAGTCCCAAGAAACCCTCAGAGGACCTGTCACAGACGTTTTGAGATGACAAAGCCTTGAGAAACAATGGGCCCAAGTTCTCCACTTTACAGATGAGAAAATTAAGACCCAAAAATGAAAGTGAACTATCCAAGGTCAGGGAGCCAATCGGGGCCGGGGCCAACACGGAACCGGGCCCATTCAGCGAATGCTGGGGACGACCCCCTGGCCTGGCCCTGGCCTTGGGCAGCTGTGTCTGGCCCCAGTCCCTGCCCTCAAGTCCTGCTCTGGGTCTGCTGTCTCGGGGTCTCCCTCACCCCAGAAATCACCCCCGCGGGCCACCGGTTCCCGGGATCCGCCCGAGAGCAGCTCCCACGCGCAGGACGCGGGGGAAGGGGCCCCAGTGCGTCCGGAAGGAGCTGACCGCAGCCAGGAAGGGGCACCGGCGGTCGCGCAGCCCCGGCCCGCGGCTCCAATCTGGGCTCCGGCCGCACGGGCGCGCGCACACTCACCCCCGCGCCGCCGCCGCCGTCGCCCCGGGAACACGGAAAGGGCGGGGGCCGCCGCCGCCCCTCCGCGCCTCCGCCTCCGGCCCGCCGCGCCCGCTCACCCCACCGGTGGGAACCGCCCGTCGGGCTCGCCTCGGGCTCCGGAGGGAAGCCTTCGCCCCGCGCGGCCGGCACAGCGGACCTGGGAGCGGCCTTTCGTCAGCCCGGGCTCCCCCGGGACGCCAGGAAGCGCTTCCGCGCTCGCCGACCACGTGCAGCGATTCCGGGGCGCAGGGGGTGGGGGCGGGGTGGGGGTGGCCCTCGGGGACCAGTTCCGGCCCCTCTGGGAGGCTCGGTGTGGTCTGCCCCTCGGCTGAGCAGCAGCTTACCTTCGAGGTCCAGCCCACGGAACACAGACAGTCACGGGACCCGGTGGATGAGGCAACATCGGGGATCAGGAACGTCCCAGGGACTTGTGTTTCATGGGAAAACTACATGTGTCTGTATTATCAGATCATCGGTTTGGGGACCAGGTTACGTGAGCTCCAAGCCACCAGGGCTCGGCTTTTGAGATCATCTTCCGTAAACTATTGAGCTTCTCTGTGCCTTAGTTTTCTGTTAAAAAACAAAACATTATAGACTATTTCATGGGATTGTGCTTTAATGAGATAATCTGTGTGTTGGCAACTGCCAGAAACTGTCTAGCAGCTCCACTAGACTTTGGCTGCCAGCCCCGGGCGACATCACTGGGGATTTCAGTGCAAAGGGCCCCCTCCCCCAGGAAGGCAGGAACCTTGTGTATTTCCCCACAGGGCACAGATGGACAGATGCACGCACGCATGTGTGTCCGTAAGGAAGGGAGCCTATTCTATTCTGCTGGGCACACTACTTTTTAATTCCACAAAAGTTCTTTGGCGTTCACCTCATGCCAGAACACCCCACTCTGCCTCTTTTTTTTAAGGGGTGCACAGACCTCCATATATTGTGAGAAGGCCCCTCCCCCCAGTGGACTTGTAGGTGGTTCCCACTCTTGCTCACAGGCTGTGCTGGATGGTCACAGCCACAGTGCTGCTACATGCCACAGCCTGCGTTCTACA